CCATTCTCCTCTTCGGATCCTGGGCACACACTCACACACGCTCAGTGTGAGTTTAAGCTGCTGAGTCCAGGAGTACATGAACCACGGTTGACTACATGGGAGTCCAGCGACATAGCCGTTACACTAACTGCTGGTCCCCCAGCTCTTGTTCTTTAGTCCAGGGAGCAGGAGGAGGTTGGCAGACCCAGGAGACACTGGGAAATCAAGAGAAGTGGCACATGCCTTGACTTCACGCAAACCACAGTTATGTGAGAAGAGAAACTCTTCAATGAATTCAAGGATGGCAATATGACATGAAACATTATTTCAGAGCTGTGAGGATATAGCCTAACCAGACAAACAGAAGTAGGCATCCACGATTGTTACACAGAGGAGGGAGAGACCAAATGTTTGCAGGGGAATGAAAGAGTTTAGAAGATAGGACCAGCAGTTCGCATAATGGCTATGTCACTGTACTCCCATGTAGTCTAAAGCCATTCGAGTCCCAGAACCAGTGGCTTAAACTCACACCAAGCTTGTGTGCATGTGTGTGAGTGCCCAAGATCCCAAGAGGAGAATGGAGGAGAAAGGATTGTGGTGTGGCCAACCCCCTGGTGGGTGATTTCTCACTTTCTGTGTCTATGTCTCTCTCTGTCTTCCTGGTGACTACATGTGCAAAAACAAAAACAAAAACAAAAACAAACAAACAGAAACAAACAGAACTCTCTCAAAAAAAAAAAAAAAAAACCTTGGTAGGGAGATGTCATAAAGCGAGTTTATTTATTTTCCCTATGAGAGAGAGAGAAAGAGATACAAGCACCCTTAAGAAGGTCCTCGCAACATGATCCATGCCCAGCTCATACAGCCAGGATCCCAGCATGCCCCTAGTGTGCATAGGGAGACTGGAGAAGGGCACATGGTCCTCCCCATGTATCTTAAGCATCACAGATCACTGCGTTGTTACCACGCTGTACCAGCTGGCCAGGACGGAAGCTCTTAGGAATGTAGTGGTGAGCCAGGATGTGGCATGGTGGCTATGGCGATCGAACCTACATAGCAGACTGCAGTGTTTGAGTCCCACACATTGCAGCTTGAGAAAAATTCTGTGTGTGTGTGTGTGTGTGTGTGTGTGTGTGTGTGTGTGTGTGTGCATATGTGTATGAGATCGTGCACATTTCTTTTCTGGTGGTAAAACCAATTAGTAACATACAGATTTCAACTGATCAACAAAATTCATTATTTAGGTTCTTTTGATTTACAAGCCAGTTTCCAAGGAACGTGGATACTGCCCCAAATGTGCCTGGCTTAGGGCTAAAATGCAACTTTCATTTTGTGTAGGCATTTGTCATGAAAAACATCTCCTCTATATTTCGTTAATGAGTCTGATGCATTTCAGAGATAAAGAAAGGAGAGAGAGAGAGAGAGAGAAAGAAAGAAAGAAAGAAAGAAAGAAAGAAAGAAAGAAAGAAAGAAAGAAAGAAAGAAAAAGAAAGAAAGGAAGTAAGAAAGAAATAGAGAAAGGAAGAAAGAAAGAAAAGATTAGAAAAGTTCACCTGTGTGTATCAGTTCTAAGATTTTTGTGTAATAAGTAAAGTAGAATACACTGCTATTCAAAACCATTCAGCAGATTCCTTAGTGCCAGAATTATGTTTTTTTCCCCAAATGCTTATTTTGGGTTCAATTTACAAAATAAAAATATGATTTCTTTATTTAAATTAATGCAGAGACAGTTCATGTGGTAGCTCTGACCGCAGAGAGCCTGGACAGCAGCACTGCGGGAGCACCAGGGCCCTCAAAGGGTGTCTAGGGAGAAGGTGGAAATTGTTCTCTAACTCTGTGTGGGTTGAACAAAAAGTGCATTCACGTGGTTACCAGATCAGAATGTGTAAAGTGAAATCCTACTCACTCTGCCTCCAGTGACCCAGTTTCTCTCAGAGCAGGTACCAGCTCTCATGGTGTCTCTTGTGTTCTTGCAGAGACTCGTGACACAGCCAACAAACCGTGTCATGTCCCATTTCTGAATAGTAATAGTTTTATCATTATTTTTAAGGTTTAAAATGTAGGAATATTTTAATATTTCTGATCTCATCTCAGCCTCAACACTGCACTTGTCAAACTTTTGACCTCAAGCTGGTACTTCAAACACAGGCTGTAAAGACACCCCATTCACAGCTACGACCTCCTCCCTCATTGCAGATTCTCACCCCACTGACGAAGGGTAATCAGTAAAAACACAGATATTGTACTCCAGTTCTCCAGTCCAGTTCTGTCCATGCATTTTTGAGGGAAATCCCGTGATTTTGATCATGGCTGGGGCACTGCCTCCTGCACACGGGTCTCATCCTCTCTACTCAGGTCTTTCCTGGGTGCCTGGCCTTCACATTTTCCATTAGGGGCTTTTTCCAACCTCTTCCCTGAAGGGTGTGCATCCTGATCTTCATCACTGCTGGCATTCAGCTTCTCCAGCTCCTCAGCTCATGAAGTCACTCCACCACTTCCTCACCTCCCACCATTGTCTTTCCCACACCTTCATCCCCTTCTCTCTTTTCCCTCAGCATCTGGAGAGTCAGGCTCTGCCTTCTGTTTTTCTAGGGCCTCATCGAGGGCAGCGCTGGTTTGTGGACATCGCCCCCTGGCTTCTCTCAGCCTCTCCCATGACTCCTTATCTATGGCATTATTCATCTGCTCCCTTTCTTCTTCTTACGCTCCACCTTACAGCTCAGAGGAGAGAGTGTCCCCTGTTGCTTTACTGTCAATTTTCTCTTTCAGTCAGGTCCTGGGCTATCATTGTGGATCTCAGCTCACATTCCTGTTGGGGGAATCAGGACCAAATAATTAAATGTTCATCTATTTGCTCCATGACATCCTTAGAGTCCCTAAGCCAGACTTGCTCCCAGAGATGCCTGCGAAAGCTGTCATGAACAGTGGCAGGGGG